CACGAAACACAAGGACTTAAATTTGCCTAAAACACAAAAAAAAACGTACAGAACTTATGTTCCGATCTGATAGTTTCCGCATATCGAGAAATCCTGGTTTCATCACTAAACCAATCCTAATAGTGAATATACCTATACACAATAAAATATGTATACATTAGCGCTAGTTGCTATTCGTTTTACTATAGAAGTTATGGCAATATATACCAAAGCATGTGTGTTTTTTTTGTGATTGAAATATATTTCATTTTAAAAGAATTTTGGCTTTTTTTTTCAAATATATAGGAAATATAGGAAAATTCCTGAAAAATAGGACATTATAGGACAATTTCTAAAGATATAGGAATTATAGGAAATATAGGACGACTACGAAGCCTGATCATAATGATGCAAAATCATCAACTCAATCATCATCATCAGTCGACTGCAAACAGGCGCGGTTTACAGGCGATAACAATATCGTACCAGCTTTTCCTGTCTGCAGCAGCCTTTCTGATTTCTTCGATCGTTGGTGGATTGTCATTGCTGATCAGTCTTGCGACGTAATCAACGTATTTCAAGCGGGGTCGTCCACGCTTACGTTTTCCATGGCCAGGTTTCGGAGTGTACAGAGCATACATGTTGGTAAATTCATTTGAGTCTCGGCGTAGGCAATGTCCAATAAAGCGCAGTTGTCGACGTTGTATTGTTTGTACCAGGGGTTCTTGTTTCACTTTTTCGTAGATTGTATTATTTGATATTTTGTCCAGTCGTTTAATGTTGAGTATTATTCGATAACAGCTAGTAGCGAAGCTGTTTAGGGACTTCTCAAGGGTTTTTGTGATGATCCAGCTTTCGGAGCCATATAGTAAAATCGAAATGCAAGAAGCTTTGAAGATGTTAATCTTAAGTTTCGTAGGTATTGTTGTCGATTTCCATATGTTTCGCAATTTCCAGAAAGCTTTCCATGCTAACCCTTTCCTTACTTTGATATCTGTGTTGCTTGAGAGTACCATTGAGCCAAGGTATTTGAAATTGTCTACCTATTGAATGTCTTCTCCATTTATTTGCATAGATTTGTTGTTGGTATTTTGGTTTGTTAGTGCTTGTGTCTTTTTAATGTTGACTTGTAAGCCTGCTTTATCGGCCCAATTCATTGTTGTGATCAATTGTGTTTGTGCTCTGTCGAAGTTACTTTCGAACAGAGCGATATCATCAGCAAAGGCTAGGTCGTGAATTGTTGTTGCTGGTTGTCGTTTTGATTGTCGTTGATTTGTTACAAATCCATGTTCACCTTGTTCATTTGTGTGTTGTGTTTCCGCATTTTTCATGACGTAATCGATTACAATAATGAAGAGGAATGGTGCCAATGTATCACCTTGTAAAACACCGGTAGTGACGTCGAATTCTTCTGTGAGTTGACCATCCACCAGAACTGCACTTCGTGAGTTGTTGTATATAGTTTGAATTGCGTTGATCATTTTCATTGGTATTCCATAATGCCTGAGAATTTCAAACATTGTTTTTCTTTCAATAGAGTCAAAG